AAGAGAAGCTCCGTTCTGGGGAAGAAGAAAAACCAAATAAAAACAAAACACACAAGACAAGGGTGTGTTCCCTTGGAAGGTTTGGCTCCATCCAGTCTAAGGACCCTCCTTACTGCAGAGGAAAAAATATTTATAGTTTGGAAATCAGCACTGGGATGAAGACTTGTCTGCTTTGCCTCTATGGGATGCAGGAATTATCTGAAAGCAAGAGCAGGTGGACGAGGGCTGATGAATTAAAGCCTCCTCTCATTGAAAAGGTTGAGAGGCAACATGGAAGGCAAAGGAGTTCAGGAAGGCTGGATGTGCTGCTAAGGAAATTTTAAAGGCACAGGAGATGATCCCAGATGGTGAAAAAAGTGCCAGCAAGGAAGGAGACAGCCTGGCTGAGCAGGAGCTTTGGCTGGAGCTCAGGGGGAAAAGGGAGCATGTGATCTTTGGAAGAAGGGGCAGGTAGCCCAGAAGGAATCCAAGGGTATCAGGGTTATGTAGGGCAAAAGCTTAACTGGAATTTAATCTGGCTACTGCTGTAAAAACAGAAAAAAAGTTTCTATAAATACATCAGCAACAACAGGATGGCTGAGAAGGATGCAGGAGGAAGCACAGTGACAAAGGATGAGGAGAAGGCTGAGGCACTTCCTGCCCTCTCTGCCTCAGTGAATAATGGCAAGGCCAGCTCTCTGGGTACACAGCTCCTGAGACAGCGATGGGGAGCAGAAGGAAAAGCTCAATCAAGTGGAAATGGTCAGTGAGCTGCTACAGGACTTGGACACACAGCAGTCCATGGGGCAGGGGGGATCCAGCACCCACTGTTGTTGTGGGAGCCAGTGAATGCTCCCCAAGCCCCCTTCCCTCACCCTCTACACCCCAGTCCTGGCAAGGTCTGGGTTGTAAATTGGCAAATGTGACACCCCTCTACAAGGAGAGCTGGAAGCAAAATCCATGGAAGTAGAGGCTGGTCAGTGCCTGTACCCCAGTGCCAGGGAAGGTCACAGGGCAGATGCCACACACAGCACGTGCAGGACAGCCACGGGCTCAGGCCCAGCCTGCAGGGCCTTGTGAAGGGCAGGGGCTGCCTGACCCCCCTGATCTCCTGTGCCCACCTGGGGCTCAGGGCAAGGCTGTGGCTCCCTGCACTCCAGCAAAGCCTTTGCCACCCTCTCCCACATCCCTCTGCTGGAAAAGCTGCCAGCCCAGGTCTGGGCAGTGGCTCTTGTGGCTGGGTTAATCCTGCTGGGCAGGGCCCAGGCAGGGGTGGGGATGCTGCTGCACCCAGGTGGCATCAGGTCACTGTGGTGTCCCCAGGGCTCAGTGCTGGGGCCAGCCCTGCTGGACATCATTACTGATGGACTGCACAGGGGGAGCAGGGAGTCTGCTGGGGCCATGGAGTTGGAGTGCTGATCAGCAGGAGGGCAGGAAGGCTCTGCACAGGGACAGGGACAGCCTGGAGCCACAGGGGAATGAGGTTCAACAGCACCAAGTGCCAGGCCCTGCCCTTGGGTCACACAAGCCCAGGGATCCCTCCAGGCTGGGGATGAGTGGCTGGAGAAGTGGCCATGGAAAGGCAGCTGGGGGTGCCTGGGATGGCCCTGAGCTGTCCCAGTGCTGCCTCTGCTCCAAGGCCCTCCCTTTGTGGCTGCCTCCAGAGCAATCCCACTGCAGCAGGTGCTGCTGTGCCTCAGCTGTGCTGCCCTGGCTCCCCTGTGCCAGGAAGGACATGAGCAGCCAGCTGAGGAAGGGCTGTGATTTTTACTGTGGTGGGTTCAGCTACACAACACTCTGGGCTTGTGCAGCAGAGCTCTAAGTTCAAACAAGGCTGCAAACCTGCCCAAGCTGCTGGGTTAAACCATCACCTCCCCTCAGCCTCCTGCCTCCCCTGCTCCCTCTGTGGATAACACTTCTGAAGCCGTCTGTTCTAAAGGGAGAAACTAAATTCCATCTGTGTGTGTATAAAACAGGAGTCAAAACATCAAAAGCTTCTTCCCCAGGCTGCAGGTGCTGGGGCAGCTGTGAGGGTGCACCTCCAGCACGGGTGAGGCACTGGAACCTCCTTCAAGTGTCATGACAGATCCAGCCAAGTTAAATTCTCTGCCTCTGGCTCCAGGCTGGAGCAGGACACAATCACAAAAGGCCACCTGCCCTGCCATGGCTGAGCCATGGACTGAGCCCTGAGGCAGCCCTGCAGAGCTTGGAGACAAGGCTGCTGCACCTGCTGCTGCTTTCTGGCTGCCACCACAACCAGCCTCAGGGATGGAAAAGTAGCTCAAGCAAATGGAAGTATTTCTTTTTTCTAGAATGATTTCTAGTCTTTTTTGTGACACGCAATGTTTGGACAAATGCTCACAACACCTGAATACTTACACAGAAATCCTCCTTCAAAAGACAGAAAAGCAGCAAACAGATGTGGAAGGGATGGGTAGGGATGTTCTCTGACAGGGAACTTTGACCTGTGCAACGAGGAAGATTTCCACACTCAGCAGGACCACACTCACTTATGGTAACAGCCTTGGAAACAAAGATGTGATTCTTCTTTCACATATAAAATTTTCCTCTTGGAAAGGTCATTTTAATAATGCAAAACATTGTGAGAGAGAGGCTTTTGTCTAATTCAAACAGTGTTCAGGATGAACTTCATTCTGGCAAGGACACCATCACAGCAGTGAGAATACACTGCTCCTGTCAGACACAGCCTTTTTTCTGTCCCTCCTGCAGCACCTGCCATGACAGGGCTGGGCTCGGGCTCACACACATCCACAGTTGCAAAATGAAAGGTTATTAAATCAGTATTAGCCATTAAGAAAAAGTCACCTCCCTCCTCCAAGAAGGAGTCATGCTGCTGGGTGGCAAAGAACACAATGGCACCTCCCATCAGCCATCATTTCATTGGGTTTATTCTAGTTTAACAGATGATTTATCAGATTTGTGCAAGACAGTTACCTCTAGCACAAAGGGAAAGAAAGTAAAATCACAGCAACATATACACACAAAACAAGATACACAAAATAGAGCTGAATTTATGTACAGGTTATTAGCAGCTAGACTTAACTTCATTTAGTACATGGCTTTACTCACTACAGTTTTAGGCACAGAGAAGAATTTATCTGCTATGATGAAGGGCCACAATGAATACCTCGTTCCAAGTCCTCCCTGGGCAGAAACTGCTTTCCCTAATGCAGATCTGACTCTCACTTCCCACCAGCTGAGGACACAGCCCTGCACAAAGGATGAGAGAACATGATCCAGCTAATTCAGCATACAGCAACTTTAGATATTAAATATCTGGGGTTTTTTGAAGTAGGGTGACATTACAGAGTTCTTGAACTAGGCTGAATTTCAATGAAACAGTGTCAGAGTTTTTTCCCCCTCGTTTGCTTAGCAAGGACTCTCAGCTGTAAACAGCTCCAGAGGAGCGGGCAGCAATGATGAGATGTGGAGATTGCTTCGTACGCACCTCACATTCCTAATGAAGAATTTGCTTCACCAGGATTTAAAAGCACAAAGGCCATGAAACATTTAAATTTACTTATCAGGTTATGTTAATAAATGATGATGCATCATCCACATGTCAGCCTGCATTCCAGCCTGCAGTGCAACACGTGCTTGGGTGTATTTTCTGTGCTCCAGTGTTTCTGATTTGGGACTGCAGACTCAGGGCCAGGCAGAACAAGCCTGTGCTTTACTTGCAGCACACAAGCAGCCTTTTTTGGCTTCAGCAGCACCTCTCACGTTGGATTATGCATGCCCAAGTGCTCTGCCAGCCCAGGAACGGCCACATATTTTAATTACTGATTGCTTATGTATAGCAAGCCTGTCACAATGAGCAACATGATCACTTACCCAGTGAAAACACTGAAAAGAGGAACTACATAACAGAACCAGCCAGATACCGTAGCAACACAATTAAAAATTTAAGCAGCAAGCAGATAATTAAAAAAAAAAAACAACAAAAAACCCCCCAAAAACCCCCCTTAACTTATGAGGCAGGTTGAGAATGACACAAAGGCTTTTCCTTCACGACAGCTTCGTTTACAGGTACAGCTCAGCAAGTTTGAAATACTTTATCACAAGAACTACAAACTTGTTTATCACAGTTATGCTCCTCGCCAAAGGGTGTGTCAGTTTCTGCTGCAGCCACCCCTCCTTCTCCAAGGTTTATTGCTCAGCTGCTCTGGAGAAGGAGTGCCTTGGTCGAGGCTTCAGAAAGTGCAGAGAGTTAAGTCAGTTTTTCCCTTTAGAAAAAAAATCCAAAACACTGAGAAATCAAATGTGAAGGAATAACAACAAAAAAAAAATGGAGAGTTTGGCATTTGATTTTAAAGTGGCTATTCTTGATGTTTTCAGGTAATACAAAAAGGGAAGGAGTTTCAATGTGGAAGGGCAGCTTTGCCATATTAAAAAAACCCAAAAACATAATAACACACAATATATTTTGAGACCATCTTTACCAGCTTGTCTATTGAACTAAGGCAAAATACCACCAACTTGGACCATTCAGGAAAGGTGTGCAGCTCTCCTGAAACTCCACATAGCCTGCAAGAATTTTGGCTGTAATTTCTGTTATGCATTGGCAGGGCAGAATCAAATAAGGCTGTGAGCAGAGGATTGTCAGGGCTGTCAAACTACAGGAAGACCAAATGACAGTTTTAGAAGTAACAGAATTTGTGTGGTACAGCTACTGTTCCATAAGTAGCAGCTCCTTCCCAGGAACCCCAACATGAAAGAGAAGACTTTTAACGTACAGGTGCTGCTTTTGGTACAGAGTTAACTTGTTCCCATGGCTTCTCTGCTGTTGGATCCTCCCTGGGACAGAGTTGGGGTCACAGATTGTCAGGAGACTCTTTGGCTGTCAGTGCATGTCCTTGAGGCTCTCCAGGCGCCTTTCCCTGGGCACGTGGGACACTCAGGTGTGACAGGAGCAGGTGTGGGAGGGGAGGGCAGCTCCAGAGTGAGGCAGTCACCCTGCACAGCTTGGGCTGCTCTGCCCTGGGGAAGGTCGGGGCTGAAACCATCCTGGGCACGGTTCTGAGTCAAGGGGAGAGGGAGGGAGCAGAAGACTCCACTTCTGGCAGGGAAAGAAGCCAAGCCAGATAACACAGACAACAAAAAGTCACAGGAGGGTGTCACACACTGTCAGAAATTTCAGCTGTGACATTATCTCGAGCTCCCATGGACAGACAGACAGACATGTAGGCAGGACAGATGGAGCTCTTTGTTTTGGCTTCAGAAAGAGCAAAAGCATGATTTGCTGTTCAGTTTGCTATGTACAACAATACTGCACTGTACACTTCATTAACGAGATGCTGCCTGCTACAGTCCAGCATTAATTAAATAAAATTCCTCTCAGTCACAAAGAGCAACAGATGAGTTTCTCTGCAGGAAGGAGAGCCAAACCCCACTGCTGTTCATGGCCCTACGTGGTGCCAGTCCTGGGATAAACACAAGTGGCCATTCCACAGTGTCCAATACCTTCCTGGCTTGCCTGAAGCAGAGAACTTTCCCTTTTTTCTTCCCATCCACTTGATCCCAATCCTGCTGGGAGTGTTCCAGCACAAAGCCATGCTATGACTTTCCCCCTGCTGCCACAACATTGCCATCCACGTTAGGCAGTCTCTTTCAGCAGTCCCAGCTTCCTGAGTGCCTCTCTCCTGGCTTCTTCAGTGGAGCCACGGCCGGAAAACTTCACCGTTATCCCTTGGGATCGAAACCCTGGAGGCCTGGGCAGAGACCCCGACCTCCTCCTCATGTCCAGGCTTACACCAGCTTGTTTATAATCATTGCAACTTTTTTCTGTGCTCTGCTGTGGGCTGCTGACTTTGTTAGTGGCAAGAGCCACCTCTGGTCTGATTGTTACAGTTTTGCCCATGGGAAGGAAAGGGCTGGGCTCACTTTTTAAAATCTCATTGATGTTTTGGTATCCATTGGTAACAGCCTCTGGCTGCTTGGGCTGCACATCAGGCTGCTGAGTGCTGGGGGCATGGTCCACTTGGTCCTGAGCTGGCTTCCCCTTAACTAGGCCGAGTTTTGTCAGGGCTTCGTAGCGAGTTTGCTCAGAGGAGAGATCCCGAAGGGAAGAACTTCTGTTCCGTGACAAGAAATCGTTTTTGTGCAGCCTCTCCTCCAGCTCAGCTGCCAGAAGAGCTCCCCCCCCATTGATGTTGGCCAGCACCTGAGCCCGCCGCTCCTGCACGTTCACCGCCGCTTTGGAAATGGTCTCGCTGAACTCCCTGCCGCCGACGTTTGTTATGTTGATGTTGCTCGGGAAGCGGGGCAGCTTGGGGGCGGGGGCAGGAGGGTGCTTGGCCGCTGGGCAATGCTCACCGTTGGCCACCGGGGCTTTCCTCCTGTCGGGGTTCCCTGCACCGAGGGCGCCGGGGAAGCGCGCCCGGCTCTCCCCCTGCTGCTGCTCCGACATCTGCTGGGCCACGATGAGAGGAGTGGGCACGGAACGGAGCAGCTTCGGGTGCTGCACTGGAGCAGGGGGGGGAGGAGGAAGAGGAAGGCTCTCGGACACCGCTGGGGGTGGTGCAGGGGGGTGTGGAGGAAGGTCAGCAGGTACAGCCGGCTGAGGGCTCTCGGCTCTCCCAGGCGCATCCAACACTAAAAGGCAAAGCAGCAGAGATGTCATTAACTCTTCACACAGCAGAATGCAAGCTAAAATGCTTCTTTCAGCATTTCTCCCCCTCCCTGCCTTTCTAACTCAGCCTCAGCCCACAGAGCCAGAAGAAACTCTAAGAGAAGTCCCAGCAATGGCATCTCTTAGGCAATGCCATAGCTCAAATCACCACGTTTGCAATGTGTCACTATCCCAGCCCTCTCTGCCTTTCACTCACAGTCTGTGTTGCTTCACTCTGCTTCAATGGCTGCTCTTCCATAAGAGTTTTGCAGTTCTTATTTTTTGATAAAACAGCCAGGAGAGGACAAATTATGTCCCACTGATAGATTCATTGTCCAAACACAGAGAGCACACACTCTAGGGGTGACAGAAACAACGTGCCATATGCTACCTTGTCACAAACTCACTGATAGGATCGTACTCCATTCAGCGCCACACAGAGTAACACTGAAAACAATCTGCTATCTTAAAACTCCTGGGAAAAATCTTAAAAAGTCTTGGGGAAGAGCAGAGCATGAGCAGGTTGGTGAATACAGTCTGCCTTGTTGCAATGACCGTGCACAACAGTGACAACTCAGTCCCAGGCAGAGGATTGAGACAGCAACCCAACAACTTCACCAGATGCGTGACCCCCATCAGGGAAAAGGAAAAATTACAAAAAAAGTTGCAGTAGCAGCAAGAATTTCAAAAACCCCAAGGCAAATTAAAATCACAGTCTTTAGAGCTCCTTATGAGTAACAAATTTATCTTGAGGTAGTAAGGGGGGTACAGAATTTGTTAAGCAGTTTTTACAGAGAACTGGAATAGGTCAGGGCTGGATCAAAGGGAAAACCCACACCCACAAGAAACCCCAATTACCTGGTTCTGTGTCTCTGCTGGAAGGGCCCTCATGGTCACTGCCCTCAGGTGTCGACTGCACCAAGTCAATGATATCTTCAGTCTCTGAATGACTGGACACATTTTCCTCTGTTGACCTTGGGGACTGACAGTGGATGCCACTGTCACGCAGGGCCATCTCCTCCAAGTCATCTTCTAAGGCATCTATGGTTTCCTCAAAGAACATGAGAACATCCTGCTCTTCATGAGTTAAGTATTTCAAACTTTCATCATCCTATGGGGAACAAAGAAAACAAACCAAGATTGACACCTTCCCAAAGAGACATTTTGACATTACAATGCTAGAGGACAAAAAAATTTTAAAAACCAAACCAGCAGCAATTGGTATTACATCCTTTAGTTTAGCAAAGAAATCTTCATTTGAGTTGTACAGAGCAAATTACTAAAAGATCGTAAAAGTCATAAGAGCTACTAAAAAAAAAAAAAAAAAAAAAGGCAAGCCAAAATAAAAATCCCTACACACACCTGTGCCTTTGCAGGGGTTAGGATGCCTTCTTCTGATTTCCAAACTGGGGCAAACTGTGTTCTGTGTCAGATTCAGGGACAAGGCTTGGGGAACAACATGAGAGGGAAAGGTGCACTCAGGACAGCCCCAGAAATGGGCTGATTCCCTTTTTGCTCAATCCCAAAGGGTGACTTAACTTCTAGAAGCAATGCTGGAGCTGAGAAGTGTCTCTGGCACTACAAACTATAAATTATCCAGAGGTACATAAGAGATTACAAACAGGTAGCAGTAAGGAGGGAGAGGGCTTCTAAAGATTTCCCTTTGAGTTACAGAAAGGAAAACCCAAGAACAAATATGAAGACCTGTCCCTAGCAGTACTGTGCCTTGGGCTATTTTCTTCAGCAGGAAATAATCCTGTAGACCACAGAAGTGATAAATAATCACTTGGATTATCCAGTCTTCATTTTCTGAGTCACTGCTATTAATTAACTTGATTACCACATTATCACTCTGTGAAGCTGGGCAGCAATGCTCTCTTTTCCCTCCACCCTGGGAAACACTCACTTTTCCAGAAGCTTGGAGATGACAAAGAATGATTAAGAAAGGCACTGCATTAAGACAATGGATACAGGAAAGACATTTCCCAAGAGCCCTGTGTAAGTTCTGGAATGCAAGTATATATTGTTGAAAATCAAGTGAGGTTTTCCCTTTTCTGGATTGAATTTCTCCCCTGCCAAGCATATACTGGAAACTTTGCTGTGAGTAACTCAACAAGAAGTGCCAAGGACACCTCACTGCACGTGCAGACAGGGTAAAAAGGCTCCTTCTCAGTGCAGGGCTGGGAGAATGGAGGTAAATACATAAAGGTATGCAGTACAAATATTCAAGAGGTAGCACGTTCTTGCTAGGGCAGCACAACTTGCTTCAAACTCACCATGCCTGTTCAGATCATCTTACATTAGATTAGACTAAAAAAACCTGTGTGCAGCTCTACCTGTTAACTCCTTGCACAAACAAAGCTTTTATCCCCATTCTCAGCACTAAGAATAAGAATGACATAGCTCTGTACCAAAACAATGCCTATAGATTAAGAAATACAATGTGCTGCATTGTACCCCGTGGCAGCTGATCTCCAAGCACTCAGAATGTTACAGATGAGAAAATAAATGGTTTGAGGCTCTTCGCCTGTGTGGCCAATGGTACATTTGGTGGGAGGGAAAGATGCACAGAGGTGTGGTTATTTCTAATTTAGTCTTAATATCCACAGTGCACTGTCAGAATAAGTAACTTATTCCAACTTGCAGCAAAACTGCTACAAAAGCTAAAATTTGGATGCCATTTGCCAGTGCTGGTTTAAAAGATGAACTTCAAAGGCTGACGTAGTCCTCAGCTCGCACCCACCACAGGGCAGGTTTCAAAGGCCAAGGAAAGTTTTACAGCTGCACTTGAAAAGCAAGAGACAGACAAGCCTTCCTTTTTTGTTTTTTTGTGTGTGTGGTTTTTTTTTTCCTTAATGGATGTTGCAATCTCCTTCCTTCCCCACCCAAATACTCACAGGGCTGCTATGTCTAGCAGGGAGAGAATGACAGGAAAGGAGCCCTGGCTGGGCAGCCCTGAGCTGGAGCTGAGCAGGACTCCAGGAGCCTTTGCTGAGGGTGAGCTCATTGCAAGAGCCACACTTCCAAGGCAAAGGAAAAGAAGAAGGGTTGTGTTTGAGAAGTTCACAGAGACAACAGATCCAGAGTGTGGTACAGGAATTAGTGTGTGCACTTAAAAAATCTGCTCCCACATCAGTTTAACTTGTTTCATCAAGAGCTGAGCAAGGAATAAAGCAAGGAAGCAAAGACTTCCCAATGCACTTCCTCGCATCCTTTTCTGTGCTGCAAGGCTGAACATTTCTCCATGACAGGTAAGACTTGCAGGAGAGTTTTGCCTGATTTAACCATCTCTTATGGATCTTGCTGTGTCCCTTTAGGTAAAGGACCTAAATTGAGTAACCATCCCTTTGCAAACACATTTGTAATAAATAGCACACCAAGAGGTGAAAGGCCAATTTCATCTCTGTTAGCACTTCAATCTGTTTCCCCATGCAGTCTCCCTTCACGATGATCAATGTCACATTTCATCAGAAAAAACAAAACAAAACAAACAACAAAACCAAAGCCAACAGCTCTGGAGAACAGGCAGTGTTAGGTGAGGGCACTGCACTGGCATCCAGTCTGGATAGAAACTCCCTCAGGCCAGATATGTTTCAGTTTGCCAGCCAAGGAAACAATCCCATTTTAGACACAAAATCACAGTGGAAAAAAAAACCTACTCAGGCTGGTCAAACCAAAGGAGCTCAGAGATGTAAAGCAAGCAGTGACTTGCTTTATTCCCACCTGTACTACTTGTACTATAGCAAAGCCTTCAGAAAGATGGGAGGAATTTTTGTAACTTAAAGGTGCCAGTTTTAACTAAGGCTACCCAGTCTATTTGCAATTTTCCATATATTCCAACTACTGGAACAGTTAATATTCTTTCCAGGCTGGTTTTCCAGGCCTCCTTTTTTCTTAATGAAGCTGTGCTTTTTAAGAGACGAAAAGTCTTTTCAGCTACTTGAGTTCACCTCACAGTTTCCATCTGCTCCCTACTCTTGATACACAAACACATCCCCCTAAACTAAATTTCACATACACCTAGCACTACAAACTTTAAACTCACTGTCAAAAGACAGCCTGAATTTGAAACTTGAATATTGTGCTTCAGCTTTAAATTACATTAAATTAGGAGGATTAAAAGGACTGCTCAGACAGAAGAAATTTGGGATGAAAACAGCTGAAATAGCTGAGTATGCTCAGCTGGCATTAATATTTTAGATCTCTCTGCAGCCAAACATTTCCTGCTTACGCCAAACAGGAAAGAGTCTGTTAAAACACTGTTTGGTATAAAAGAGGAAAAATAAAGAAATAAGAGAAAGAAAAGAAGAATAGGATTAGGATTTATTTCATAGAAAAGATTAATTGATTCCTTTCCTACATGTTCAATACAATGACTTAATATCCAGAGGCCCACAATTTTTCATACACGTTTGAAGAAATCCTGAACATCACATCCAGATCTAAAATCCTAAGACCAGCACAGCTTTGACAGAAACAGAAAACCACAGGAAATCCCAAGGCATTTGCAGTGCTTAAAAAAAATCTTTAAAACCTGCTAAGGAACCACACTTCAGTTAGCAAAATACCAGGAGAATGGCAGATTCAACTGATTTATCAATCACTTGACAGCACTGAAGAATTAACAGACAATTCCATGAGAAAGAAGTGACTGGGTGCTTCTGAAAAGAACCATGAAGGGAGCAAACCATTCTAAGGTGCAGTACAAAGGCCTTGCAGCACCACTTGGGCCACAGTCTGTGAGTAACAAGGCAGTTCTGCTTGTCAGAAGGGGGGAAAAGGAAAGCCCTGCGTGCAGGGACTGGACCAGAACACACACAAAAGCTTTAGCACAGAAGAAGTCAAGCACCTCTGACCGGATTTCCAGGAACGGGAAATGGAATGGATTGTAGTGCTGTTACTGCAGCTGGAAGCATGTGAGTTACAGCTGAGAACATGAGCTACTACACAGGATCACACCAAAATCCCATTTAGCTCAGCAGCCTCCAGCAGCCATGAACACACAGGAGGGTGTGCGAGGTGTTGCTGTATATTTTATGGGTATATTTTTCTTCTCCCAAATCCTTCCAGTTTCCAGCAACACATGGCTTAAAGATTTCCCAGATGCATTGGCATCTGTGTATTTAATAGCCCTTAATGAGCTTTTCTAGCATGAATTTGTCTTATTGTTTGAGCCATGGAAATGACTGGCATGCACAGCATTCTGTGGCAGGGAGTTCCAGAGTGTAATTGTGTGCTGTGTCAAAAAGTGCTTCCTCTACAACCCACTATCTGATGGTTTGGATAATACCATTCCATTTGGTGAAGAAGACTATAATATTGAGTGTTGTTTTCTTCAGTTTATGAGGATAATTGTACTGTGTGCTTCATGAGAGGCAGCAAAGCATATAATCAATAGGTCCTAAGTGAGGAAACAAATTATCCACAAGTACTTAAAAGATAAATTAGATGAGCTAAAGTCATAAACTGACTAAATTACTCCTAACCTACTTTTAAAGAAAGCAAGCTGAATATCTACTTAAACTCTGAAGACGTCTCTTTGATAAACAAAATTAGCCTGATCAGCCTATAGAAATTAAAGGGAAAAAGAAATTGTTAGAACAACATTGAGAAAAATGGGGAGCCACTTCAGGCAAAAGCCACTAAATTTTTATAAAAACATCAAGTAATTTCACACCAAGCTCATTTCTCAAGAGAGGGTTCTTGACCTGACCAATAGGTACAAGCACAAGATGTCACATACCTTGATTTGAAACCTTTATGACACAGTCCTCAAAAAAAATGATGCTGAGATGAAGTTACTGCAAGGTACCTGTGCAATCTGTGAGTTTGTCAGTTTAAGTGCCATAAAGAGGGAAAAAAATCTGCTGTTGAGGGATGCAGATCCCATTCTGGGATATATTAACCAGGGTGATGACATGACAGCACATCCTCATTCGGAACACAGAGTTCAGACTCAGTTGCTGAACTTTGGAAAGGATGCAGCCAAGCTGGACAGAGTCCAGAACAAAGCACGGAGTGCTGTGAGCCTGGCTGCACAGGAAGGCTCAAATAATGGAGCATGTTACATGAAAACAGGGGAGAATGAATGGGGGGTGGGCAGATGCAGCCTTATGTCAGTGAGGGTATTTTAATATATAAAAAGTTGACCACCCATATAATTACAACAAATCTCTACATTCACTGAAGGTGAGACAAGTTAACTTTCACATAACAAACTTTAATGCAAGTATTCTGTAAAAAGTAGCAGAATATACACAGAAAACACTCTGGAAGTCTAGGAATGTCTATCAGCAAGGTTTAAAAAGCAGATTTGCCCACCTCCTACAAAAATCTCTAGCTACCAGATCCTGCTTTGAAGCACAATGATACAGTTTGTGTACAGAGCCCAAACTGCCTTCAGGATCTGCATTCTCACTGGCACATTTTCCAGCAAGATCATTCCTTGCTAGGAGTCAGGCTCCCATTTTCCCAAGGCACACTGCTTCCAGCTCATACTAACACCAGCCTAAAGTGGCTGAAGCACAGCATAGCTCCCTCCACACCCTGTCAGGAATGGCTTCCACCTGCCCCAAGGCAGCTGCAGCCATACAAAGCAAACAGTCAAGAATTCTTCTCATTTTTTGTGCATTGTTATTTGGCAAAGCCCTTGGACACGGTGAACGGTCTTGCAGTACAGTAAATCCTGTGGAGTACCAGTGTCAAGGGGGAAAAAACCAACTATACAACAGGAGTCTTTCTCAGGACATTGCCTTCAATGTACCTCAAGTGCAGCTCAGCATCACAAGACTCACTGAAATTGTGAGGAAAAAAGCTGGTAGTGGGCTAAAGACACATGATCTGTCCTTTTCCAGAACCCCTAAATCCACACTGGATTCCCAATGGATTCTCTTCAGGGAGGCTGAGGCAAAGAGATACCAACATGGTGCACCAGAATGCCAGGTCTGTTGCATCTGAATTACCTGTACTGATCCAAAAAGGATAAAGATCATAACAACAAATGTTTAGGCTACAAGAGACACCATAACTACAAAACAACCAGGTCACCCCTGAGTTAAATGGCTGAGGGTGTGAAACAAAGCACTGAGCCAGCTCAGACTACTCACAGCACAGCTGCTCCTCATGTCTATGCTCAGAATGTCACCTGTACTACACAAGGGACCCAGGGGTGACAAACCATCTCCAGTGACTGGCTATGAAGTCTTGCTAGAGCCAGAGAGGAAGCTTGTTTGAAGAAATAACAATCAGAACAAGCAAAATCTCTTCAGAGTCATGGCCTCTCCCAGTTTAAGCCATTTGATTAGTGATCAAATGAAATAGCCACTTGAACAAATTCTGGAGGCCACCACTGCCCCAAAAAGAGTGGAGGTGAACTGTGGCATTAAGCAAGGATCTGTCTGATCCAAAGGCAAAAAAAAAAAAAATATATAAAACACAGTGTGATCCACCAAGAATAACAAGAACTCACTATCCCTCAAAGCCACCACTCAGTAAAACATGCTCAGATACAGAAGGTGAAGTACTGAAGTTGTAGCAACAGATCTGAGGCACTGCCACAGCTTAGTGCACATTATTAGTGCAGTTCCAATTAGCACAGCTCACTTCAGGTACAAGCAGCACCTCTGCCATGGCTCTCACAGGTAGCACAACTGTCCTAGCACATCATTCACACTCAGAAACTAAAGCAGTTACTCATGGCTGAGAACAGATACCCAGTCCAATTACCAGAGACAAGCACTGAGAGAAGGACTGGCTTTAAGAAGCTGGTCTGTGCCTATTCAGTCAATGCAACAAGGCAAATTGCTTCCAAAAAAACCCAAGACCTAGTCTTAGCTTTGAATTAGGTGTCCCTAAATTGCTGCAACTGTATTTCATGGCAAGTTAATTCTTATACACATGTCTGGCAGTGCATTACTGACTGGGTTTTGGAAGTTGAATTGCCAAGAACAGAGTGTTTTAGGAGTGTTTTTGTTTGCCCTCACCCTTGGGTAAGTGCAACTGATTCCAGCATTGAGAGAATACACTTCTCTCAAGCAGATGTATGGATACATCTTTTAACAAAGAAACCAAAATATATGTGCAAATTATTCCCCATATATAACAGCTTTTATGGCTACTAACGTTCATGTGAGATGAAGATATCAAGGCATACATTTCTCCCATCTCAACTCAAATTGCTGTGAGATGTTTGGCAGAGTAAGTCCAGACCTGAACATCTGTAATTTCTATGGAAATACTCATGAAATCAAGGCAGCATCTTGCTTTCCATTAAAAAAAAAAATTGGCTTAGAGGCCTTAGAGGCAGTTGTCAAAGATAACTGGAAGCATCACTATATAGGTAAGAGAAGCTGAGAAATCTGGCAAAATTAAACTGAAGTGACAACAGCTGACTGGGAGGGATCCCACATACAGAATTTTAAGACCTTTTCAGCACATGGCAATTGATGTCCATCTCCTGGTCATTCCTAAACTGACAAGCAGCTCCCAGCAAGCAGTGCCAGCACAGACACACAGGATGCAGGAGCAGCCAGGAGTCAGCCAAACCAGCTGTGAGCAGTCAGCAAAGGCTAAAGCCAGTCCAAGTGTTTGTCCCCATTATCACATCCCTGGGTTTGTTTGAATTCCACAGATGCAATACAAAGGTTATATTTAGTAACTACTGCAGTCTGACACTGAGAAGCTTAAGAGCCTGGTGTTTTTAACAATCAAGTAGGAAGAAACCTGCAGCACTATGGGCCTGTCACAAGAAGCACTGTCACACTTCTTTCCTTTGCAATGCCATTACAAAAACCCAAAATATCAAAGCCAACCCTGACCTTTCTTGCCATGTCTCTAGGAGAACAGGCCCAGGAAAGTGATAAATGAAGAGGCAGTTGGGTCTTTAGTTGCTTCTGTTTCAGGGTTTAGTGAAGGTCCAGTGTGCCTCAAAAAACATCTCCACCTTTCTCAGAACTGGCATAAGAGAAATTCTTTGTCTACACAAAGTTGTCTACCCTTTCTTCTCATTAGGCCATCAAAGCTTCTGCATCATCTAAACTTTCATAACAAAACTACTGAAGCAAGAAGATAATTTCTCCAGGAGCATGTTCCAGCAATTAAGCAGAATCTCCTTCATGTTCAGTTTAACACAGACCCCTTCTCAAACTCAGAAACTGAAATCATGCCTGTATTTAAGAGGTCATGTTGTCCAGCCTGTTACTCCACACATGCCAGCTGCCAGCCTTATTGGACATGCCACCTACTACACTGCTGGAAATAAAATCATAAAGGGATCTGCGGCATCCCAATCAAATTTGTCAGTACACAATTCACTGTCTTCATGCACAAACTGAAGACAAATGAAGCAGCTCACAAAGGCTCCGTGAACTGCTAATTCCCAGGTCTGATGGGAATTGCCTAAGCCTGCAGCTAACTTTTACTCCATCTATAAATTACTGCATTACAGAGTAGGAAGGGATTCCAGTTCTAGCTGATGCATCATCACATGGGTTATCACATGGCAGGATCTAGGATCTTGGACTAAGGGAATTGATGTCATTTTCTGACACAGCAGACCTACAATGAGACTGTACAGACTGATTTATACATGGTTTTGTTATTTAATACTGATTTTTTCAAATGTCTAGTTTCATGCTTGCTAAGAATAAAACCCAAGGAAATCTGATTGACTATTACCTGTTAACCTGGAAACTAGTGGTAGAGTAATAAGCAAAATTAACTTACAATTCTGTGTAAAATTAAGTTGTAATTCTCTAGCAAAGTACTACTTCCACTGTAATTCTCTAAAATTCAACCAGCTTTTAGGAAACAAACAACATACACTAACTTCCTGAGCCTAAATGATGTACTTAACCTCTCCCACCCTGAGCCTTCACAACTTTTTTCTAGAACAGATCAGAAACAGTTAAGGAACTAAATTTCATCACACTTGTTTTGTGTTTTAACTAGCAACACAAGCTGAAGGATACAGTGTCATACTAACAGTAAGTATTTTCAGTAGAAACAACAAAAAAGAGCCTGCATTTGAATTGCCTCCAGGTGCCAGAAAGCTCACAAAGTAGCACAAAACCATGAGTGTGTCTGAGGTATACAGATAAATACAGGTTTTGCCACTTTTTCACAGAAAACTACCACATTAAAAGGAAACTATCAGGGAGGGCAGAAGGAAGGAGACAAAAAGCCTAATTCCATATATAAGGCAAGACAGAGATTTAGATTCCCAAGCAAGTGTGTTTACCAGTGTGCTCTTTCCTCAATTAAAAATTGATGTTTTTCAAATGGTTGGGATGATAAAAAAAGTATGGAAGGAACCATACCTGCACTTTCTAGGCTTAGCCTGTCAGTACACAGTGTACTGTTGAGTTCACTCCTGATTCACCCTGCTAATTGGGAAGAATGCAGAAGTGCATCCTACTCCCTCAGTTACTCACTCACGACTGAAATGGCCACACACTCATAGTCACTAATGCAAGCACAGCTTTGTTTATGGTGACATATTTGTTACTCATCTAATTAAGGTGGAATAAGCTGAGACCTTTATTCAGGAGTGTCAACAAAGAGATTAAGCAAAGGCAGTGTGTAGAACCATCACTATCCTTAAGTTTCTTTATGAGGTGTTCAAGAAAGCGAGGGCAGAGCAGCCCTTACTGCCATTCCTGGTTCTCTGGGAGGAAGGGCTGGAGAGAAGCACTCAGAGACAATCAGACCAGAATAACAACAACAACAACAGAACAACAAGCTGTTACTCCAAAGCTGAGAAGTTATTTCTGCCCTTTGAGTTTAACAACCGAGACAACACCAGCAACCACTCAGGATTAGAAATGGCAGAAATCAATCTTAATAACACAAAAATGGTGTGATGTGGGACAGAGCTATTAATGTAATCTGTATCACTAAGCACAAGGCTCATTAAACACTTACCAAGGCAAGATTCCTGCACCTAGCTTGGCTGCCATGGTTCTCCCCATTGCCAGCCCTTTCCATGCTCCCATGAGTGTGCTCTGGAGAGGTTTCAGATGCCATTTCAGGAGGATCCACCAGGAGATTCCTAGGCATCACACCTTCTTGACCACTGGATGCCGACGCAGCACAGATGCCATGGGTGTGTTACGTGGGGCTGCTCGCATTATTCATGTCTGGAAACAGAGAACAATGTGGCATGGGGTTAAATCTGCTGCTTAAAGCACCTGAAAAGGAATGGAAAATAAATGGTAAAAAAAATCCCACACAAGTTAATGAAGGGCATATCTTTATGTCCTGAAACACGTCTACTGCTTTATGGGCCTCTTTTAAAACACTGGTTTTGTTCAAAAAGATGACTAAAATTCAACATAGAAAGGTTCTGTACCCCATCTCTTGTGCTTCCAAACCAGATGTCTGTGGACAGTTGGAAGCAAGGATCCTGCATATATCCTTGTCCTACAAATTCAGTTTGTGTTTTCCATTATGGCACATCATTAACAGTAATAAAATCCCACTGACTGAGATACCAACTGGCACAGCTCAAGTACTTTTATCTTTATTTGGTTTTAAACAAGAATTCTATTTATGGGATCACATGAGGGAAACAGAACCCCATTCATTTCCTAACACTGCTGAGTTAACTCGTGCTACTGAAGCAGCTCTATGCCACCTGCTTCTGGTGAGAGACCCACGAGCAGAACTTGGTGCCATTTTTGCATCAACGCATTACAAATTGTGTTTTAAAGCATCAAGAGCTTTTATTTCACTCAGCCATGAAGAAACAGTACTTGTACATTTGGAAGACACTTACTGAAACAGACATATGCACCAGCACTCACTAGAGGAAAAGTCCCCAGTTTTTTCAGCTTTCCCAGTGCCCAGTTCTGCAAAACCTCTGAATTGTCATCATCTCCCAAAACACTCTGGCAGAAGTTTTACTTTGATTCTCAAGGACACAAACACAAAAGTCATCTTAGTGCACTAACAGCATGAGCAGGGGTAGGCAAAACATAGAACCTAGCTCATTTCTGGCTGCAATACATTAAAGCACCCTTTGCAATGAGAAATTGCCTCGCTTGCTAACAGTCCATCCTTGCACCCAGCCTGCCTGTGACCCGTGGCCAGCAGTGACACATCCCTCAAAACAGCTGGCTCCGAGGTGCCAAATGCAGCCAGCTGGGAAATGGACACCACTCCCCTGACACTGCACAAATTAAATGAGATGCTCCTGCTTCCCAAGTGCTTCTCCCTTTATTATGGCACAGAAGGCGACACGAGAAGCAAAGTCAAGCCCGCATTTCCAATTCAATCGGATTACTTCTCCTTGCTCCCCACAGCTGTGGGCTGAGGGCTGAGAAACCAGAGCCTTCTGGTAAGCTGATTAGTGTTTCATAGCAGTGAGATAACATCTGCCAATAGCGAGCAACAATTCCATCCCGCTGATCCCTCCTCCCAGGAGAGGCGATGACATTACCAGAGGTGCCTCCCCTGTGCCGCAGCACCGGCGTGTCCTGTGGGAGAGCTCCCACACAATGCAGCCAGGCTGCAGTCCAGCCAGCCTTGGAAGCACAGCCACAACCACAGCAAAAACATCTCATAGCCCTTCTTATGAGCATTGGGTCAAACGATCAAATTTAGCCTTACTTTTACACAAAAAGAACATTCTTTTTTTTCTATTAAGAACTTTAGTTATCAATTATGCATGCTCAGGATAATGGGCTTTAAGTGATGCCCAGAGATGCTCATGGTTCTGGTTTTGAAACCCTCAGGATAGGCAGGCACAGGAGCACTGGGGCAGCTGCTGCACCTTTGGCTGCTGCAGAAAGCTAAACAGGAAAACAGCAGCAGCTCCATCTACCGCAAACCCCGTGGTGCTGAAAAGCCACACACAAGCACATCCACACAAGAAAATATATGGAATTTTTGGAAGCCAACATTATCAGTGAAAATCTTGACTCCTCTGAAATCCTACACTTCAACAAATATACATTAATTTTTAGAAGGCAGGTCTATCAGAGGATCTTGACACCGCTGAAATTGACAGGAAATTCCCACTGACTTCAGATTCCATCCTGTGATTGTCAAGGTGATGTTTATTTCAGATGGATAAGAGACCAGCAAGAGGTGAGTACTTCCACTGACATTCAACATATGGCAAATGTTATTCCTCTTCAGCAATTTTAAGTTGCAGCATCAAGTTTTTTATCCAGGTGTCCCCAACATAAACTGAACACGCCATGTTTGTTCAGTCCCTCAGAAATGCTATAGACAACTGTGAGATTTCTAGAACTACACTCAAAACTATGAACATTTTATGGACTGTATTATGAGAGGTCACTGCTGCAGATTACAATAGATATCACAAGTAAAACCCACATTTAAAGACTAACCAGGAGAAGATATTAATTGATGTTACCATGAAACAAATCAAGAGGCCCAGATTTTGAGGGAGAAGTATTTAATAGTATTTTTCTGCTTTCTTTAACAGCAATACCTCAGTTTAAGCAGGACTAAGTTCATGGTAGGCTATCTGCATTCAGGACAGCAGGAACACCCAGATTCAGCAACAACAAACATTAAAGCCACAGATTATAAATAACAACAAATACTTCTGCTCCCAGCAAGCTCCCATTACTCATTCTGGAGCTGCAGTTCAGAGGTTTCACAAAGCTCCTGAACAATGGCTAAAGGCTCTGAGTGCAACTGGTTCAGAGAGCCACCCACACAAGAGCCAGTATCAAACACTACAGCACTGGCCCTGCTTTTGTGTTAGAAGCTCTGGCTTCTTTGGGACTTTTACTCATTTCAGAAAAGCTGGAGAGCTGTGCAATGCTCTGTGAGCCTGCAGAAAAGGTGTGGGGGAAGATTTTTCCCCTTCTACCTTTTACATCACCTTTACCACAAAGGTACATGTCAATAAAATCATAATCTACTCATATACATTATTTCTTCTCCCCTTTGCTGTGTTCTTTATGCTTTGAGAAACTCCTGCACCTTTGTACAGTGCCTAGAGCAGCCAGAGCTGATGTGAGGCTGCCCAGCACTGCTGCAATGTTTTACAGACCAATTCCTCTCCTAACCATGCTTAACACTAAAGTCCCTTCACCCTCTGTATGTCATCTCTATTAAAGGAAAGACTTTATAAGTTTCAGATAGAAATAGTCAAGGATCTAGTGAATTTCCAGACCCCCCAGTTTCAGTAGGATTGCCAAGGGAACAAGCAGGGTTCAAAATTAAGGTAAGCTTGCTCAGAGAGAAGGAACAGCAGGACAACAGGCAGCTGTTCCTCCTGACCTTCAGAGATGCATTAAATATGAAAGTTGCTCACAATGGGATTTGTTGTTCAGTCAGTGTAGCTGGGTATTTTTTAGCTTGGCTTAAGTGATGTGTGCCTGTACCATTAGGGATTAATAATAAAAAAATATCAGATCTTGACACAGGAGCACAGAAGTGTGACAGGAACTGTACTATTTGGAGAGAGGATCCCAGATATTAAACCAGAAATGCATCTTAGGGCAGATGTGATTCTATCATCTGAAGTGATTACTTCTTGGTTACACTAGAGATAGCTTTCATGAGATATTTGAAACAATACAAGTCACATACCATACGTGTTTTTCAGAGAGTAGAAGGAGGAAATTGAAAGATTCTGAAGTCAGCACTGAATTTCACCTCCAAAGATTTAATTTTGCTTTGACAGAGGCAAATAATTCAGAGAGAATGTATTAAGTTCCCATCAAAGATAAGGTGTGGTCTGTCCTTTCAAAAAGGATATTTTTACAGTTTTGCTGACTAAGGTTACTTCTTCACTAAAGCTCAATGTTAGCATTTACAAGGGACTGTTTCTATAGTAGCAGGAGATTGAAAGAATTTTTTATTAACAATCCTGTTTGAAGACTAGCTTAATAGGCAAAAAGATCAATCCCACAAAAGTGCAAGACATTTAAATGCTAAAAATCAACTGCTAATAAGCCAGGAGCCAAGAGTCAGCAGACAGCACCAGGCCATTAACTGCACAATATACTTAAGGTGAGTTGACAATTTTTAGAAAATTATCATGCATTTTTTAAAAGGGCACAAGATCAGCCTGTCCCTTTCACCCTACATACAATTTCTAGAACACTCTCTGCATGAAACATTTCTGAAGATAGATTTCTAAGCCTCATTGCACTCTGAGCATCACACAGACTTCTGCTTTGTTCTTAACCAACTCTTTCTCGGTGACTCAACTGAAACAGAAGAAGTGGCCAGTGAACCTCAGGGCTGGTTTAATCTGTCAGCTGTGCACAGACACAGCAATGCACACACTGTCAGTCACCTTGCACTCCATGGTGCTGGCTGAGTTTGGAGAGTTAAGCACTTGGAAAAAAAACATCTAGAAACACTCTGTGGTCATTAGAAGTGTTACCATGGGATGGGTTTTATAAAAATGATGGCACAGGAGCAGACTGGAGACCTTTCTCAGCCTCAGCTGGCAGCAGAGCAGTAAAACAAGGCAAAGGAGAGCAGGGATTCATTCAGATTCCTGCATGCTGTGGTCAGGAGACCACAGGGCTGCCCAAAACAGGTCAGGTATTTGTGTCTAATAACCTCCTGGATTTTGCCTTGTGTGAAGTGCTCCTGCAACATACCTGTGAACCAGCTGTACAACACCAGAGCTGAACAAAAGCAGCTGGCACTGACATGTCTTCACTGAGCCACTGCTGCTCCAAACTCCTCCAAACTAACTGATGGTTAGTTCTGGTGGACACATCTCCTTCTGAACAGGGCTACCAGCAAGTGAATTCTCCTGACCTCCTTCAGGATGTGAAATACTGAGTAAATCCTTGAGCTTTAGGGGTAACCCCACTCTTGTGATATACAGTAAGAGTGAAGCTTTCTGGTAAAAGAATAGATAAGAATAGACTAAGTAACAGCACTGCCTACAGAGGCCAAAGCTCACAGGCAAGTTGACTGATTCCAGGAGCACACAGGATAAACTGATGAGGTTTTGCTGAACACGTAAAAATCCCACAGAATCAGACAGTAAATTAATAAGCTGTTCTTACAGAAAGAAACAAAACAAAACAGAAGTAAACCAAAACTGGCCAACATGGGTAAATTCTGACTTTTCTTCTCCATAAGTGTAGAAGCTTGTGATAACACGGAGTATGATTCACAGTTTTGATCTGCTCATGAAAAATCCCATGTGTTGAAAACAGTCATGGCTATATAACATCCAGTAACCCAGAAACATTCCTGTCCTTGTTTAGAGGGGGACTGTCACTACAGTATGCCCAAATAGAAATGCTGACCATTAATGGAAAAGGAACAAAAAAAAAAAATACACACATGAAGAATCCATGCCAGTAAGGTCTACTAAATGACACCCAGGCCAACAGCATTTTCATAGACACTTCCTTGGGCATCAATATTGATTTGCAGAACAGGTGACAAGTGGGACTGAACAATGTTTAGCCAAGTGTGACCTCAGGGGGCTCTCATGGCAGCCCATGACAGATATGCAACTACATCAAAGTAATCAGAGTGACAAAAACCATGCAAGTCTCCCAGAATTCAATGTTTGTAACCCCAATATTTTGTTTTAAACTTTCTGGTTTCTGTGGCACACTTGTGACAATTCAAACTTTCCTTTACAGGCTGGGGAGCTACAAAATCTGTTAGTTTTGGAGCTAAGAACAAAGATTCTCTCAGTCCTCTAAATGTGGAAGTTGGAGCCTCAAGAAACACACTGAATGTCATTCATACAACTCGCAGCAGAATTTGTGAGAGCTGCCAACAGTGAAATAACTAATCCTGTGTACATACATTTTTGAAAGAACTAGATGGGCAAGGCATCAATTCAGTAAAACTGAAATCTGTCTGACTTCACTAGGACATTCCATCACATGCTTAAATGGTTCCGTGAATTGGATCTCAAATTAAGTGTAGCAACCACTTAAAAACAAAGGAAACAATCACAAACCAACATTTTCATCACCCAAGTAATAATTCATTTACTACACTGAATTCTCCAAATCATGCTTTGCTCAGAAACAATGCCTAAGGTCACACCTTTGACCACATTAATCTAAGCCTGATGATACCAGAAAATGAGGAATCCATACTGTGCTTCATTCTTAACTGGTATTTCTTGATTTTCCAGACCATCCTTTTCACTGTTCTGAGACCCTATGGTTCAGAGACTTGGTTACATCCAACCAAGGCAGCACAAGAGCACAGCTCAGCACTACCTCATACTGCTCTCTGCAGTGTTTGGGAAATGCTCCTTCTTCCAAGGCAGTGGGATACCAGGGCAGGATTTGATGATACACTTTTCCCTCAGGATGGGAAAAGATGTGCCCACACATCTTTGCCTTTTCCCTTGCAAATAAACTCTGTTCCCAGTTCACTACATCAGCACCAGCATCAGCAGAACCTTGTTGCCCGAAATGAAGGCCAGTGGCAAAGGCTCCTACACAACATTGTGGATTAAAGCACCAAAGATCCCTGAAGTGCTCCCATTTCCCACTCATTTTCAGTGACAGCATCACTTCCTGCCCCAACTAAAAATAAAACTCCAGCCAGTGACAAGCAGTCACCTTTCTGTAGATGAAGGTCTTACCTAAGGGCAGTGCTAAGGCTCTCACTGGGACTCTCCAGGCGAGATTTGATGACCAGCAGCTGCTCAGTGGGAGGACTTCATGTGATACCCAGAGCTGCCTCTCCAGTCCTGCATGGGGCTTTAAACACATCCAGGAGATGGCTGAGCTCTGCTCTGACTTCAATTTGCCTCATGCAAATTTCAACAAGGAAAGAGTCCCATTCTTTTCAAGTTACTCTTTTTAAAGCTCCCCTGTTAACATCAGGGTGGTGCTATCTGTGACAGCCAACACTTTAGAACCATGAAGTGTACATAAACAATTTCAGGCACAGACGCCTCTGTAATTAGTCAACTTCTGTCTTGTTACAGGTGCAGCATTGCTGGGGTTTAGAGTTTCATTATGTAACTGCTGCTACACTCATGGCAATGGTGAGCCAAATCCTGTTTTACACAGTATTTAAGGATAGCAAGACAATTTTCAGCCCCAGTTCTGCTCTGTCACAGTCTCACAAGTAGATTTTATGCTGCTCTCCTGTGTTTGTTTTTGTGACTGCTGTGCTGGTGTGGGGAAGAAAGCAGAGAACGTCTGAAGCACAAAGCATGGGTGTTTACTTTAAAAATTAACTAATTTTGGACATTTCATTCCTATGTAAGTACATAAAGGTCTGCCTGCCCAAGGTAAACAAAGCTGAAAACAGCACTGGTAAAAAAAAGGGCAGTAGAGTCTTGGCCCTGGACTTTACTTGGTATCATCCATACACACCCAATTGAAAAGAATATATTTAAGCAGTTACTTATACTGGAAATTAAAATCACTTGCTTTTATTTTTTAATTAAAAAAAAAAAAAAAAGGAGGAGGGAGGATTTGGTAACAGTAACAGCCTGTCTGGCTGGCTTTGAAAGCCACATTCATATGCTCATTTATTTTCATGCTCCAGTATTTCAGAAGGTCAGTCAGCCTGAGACTTGTCAACTGCTCAGGAGTTGAGTTGTTCCAGTCACTATATCCAACCAGCAATCCGTCTGCCAGCACTCTTGGTTAATATTTCTCTCAGAGGCATGCAGAGAAAAAGCAGTTATAACTAACAGGATGAGAGGAGTTTTACTACTGACAAAACAGAGATGCAATATAGAAATCTCCCTGCTCCTTCCTAATGCCAGGCATTACTTGCACTTCTCGTCATAAAACTTCATTCTACTCATTCACCCCCTATAGTAAAACCCCCAAACAAATCCTTGATAAGAAGGACACTGCTGGGAAAATCTATTCCACTTCTGAGAAATAAATAATATCTTCATTTCTTAGAGACTCAAGCAAGCAACAACTTTTTTTACCCTTTTATTGTTTAAACATCAGTTCCCCCCCTTATACAACAGTAATTCCTGTAAAGGAAGGAGAAAAGCCAAATCATAATGTGTTAAAGTAGTGCCTGTACAACGAAGGCTATCTACAATGCTGCATTAGTCAAGGATCTGTATCAAAGTCTTAAAATAATACCTTTTTATTAGCATAAGCCAGAAATTGCAAAAGCTTTTAAAGCTAAGACTTATGCTTTAGGGTTTAGAAAGAAGTCTTTCATAAAAAGGGAGGGGAAAGGAAGTAGCTGTTACATTTCTGGTACTTGCTACAGCTTAAAATCCTTGGAAGATGTTTGGAAAATTTCAGAAGAGGCTGTCTTATTTCCTTCCTATTTCATCTGCATGCTTGTTACCACAGGAATCATCTCTTGCTACACCCATGCACAGGACCAAGCACAAGAGAGCTCCACACTTCCAGCAACCTCCTCCCGCTGCCACACTAAAACAAAAACTATTCAGGAAACATGCCCTTGAGATCCTGGATTACTGAAAATCCCAGGAGTGTTTTTAAGGCTGTGCTTTCTTTTTACACGCACTAAACTTCACCCGAACCACCTCAGATTAAGATCTCAAGAAGCACCAGCCTTCTCATGCTTACCAGCTCCGGATGGAAAAGGCACCTGACAGGAGGAAGGGGGAAAAAGTATCCTGAACTAGAATCTGCCACTGTTTGCACAAACAGCTTTTCCAATGGAAACCCTAAATTGCAGACACTCGGAAAGCAAACAGGAGGCACAAGGCAGCTGTTCCTCATCACCCTCAGTCAGGCAGGAACAGTACACATCAAAGTTCTACCGGTATGAAACCTTTACTAAAACATATTTTCTTAAAGTTGCCAATATGCAGAAGCAAATTTTACGTCATGCTGGGGAAGAACAAGAAATCCACAGGGGTAAAAAATTCTTAACAGCTCGGTAGTGGGAAGCCAAGCCTCATACACGGCAGGACAGCAGTTCGCTGATAGTTTTTCTCTTCCCCACCAATGTACCAAAACCAACCCAAGCCCAAAGCTCTCTGCGGGGCTGTGCCGGTCCCTGTCCCCGGTCCCGCCCAGAGCCCGCGCAGCGCACGGAGCACCGGCCGCCGCTGCTCTTGGAACAGGAGAGAAGAATAATTAAAAATCCATTAGTGAGTAATAAGAGCAACGCCGAACCCTTGCCGTGGCGGGCAGGCAGGGGCGCACAGCTCCGCGGCCTCTCCCCGCAGCGAGACCGAACGGGGGACAGGCGGAACGGAGCGGGGCGAGCTCGCCCCCTCACGCCAGCGACCGCGGGAACGAGCCCGGGAGAGCGAAGACCCCTCAGCCGGGGGCCCGCGCAGGGCCAGGGGAGACCCCCGAGAAAGGGCGGTACTCACCGGCTTTGGGTCCGCACCTCTCCCTGCCGAGGGCGGAACGAGCCCCGGTGGAGGACAGGCAGGTGGTCGAACAGCGCCGCGGGCTCCGCCGAGCTGCCGCCCCGAACTCATGCGCACTGCGCCGGCCGCCACCCACGGCGGGCGGATAAAGCGGCCGGGCGGTGGCTCAGCCCGGCCCGGCTCCGCCTCGCCCGGGCGGGACCGCCGCCTTTGTCCCGGCGCTCGGGGCAGGGCGTGAGGGAGGGAAGGGAGTCTGCCCTGCCGAAAGGCGACTGCGGTGCGGCCGGGGCTGAGGGGCTGCGCTGTCCCTGGAGCGGAGCCCAGTGTGTTGGAGCTACGAAGTTTGTCAAGGGTCTGGAGAATCTCATTTGTGAGGAAAGAGAGAGATGGGCCTGGTCCGCCTCGGGAAGAGGTGACTGAGATGGGACCTCATCAATGTCTATCAGTATCTAAAGGGAGCGTGTCAGAGGATGGATCGGGCTCTGCTCGGGAGTGCCACCCAGTAGGACAAGAGGACAAAGGGCACAAACTGATGGCCAGAACTTCCACCTGAACATGAGGAAGAATTTCTGTCCTATGCAGTGACCAAGCACTGGAACAGGTTGCCCAGAGAGGGTGTGGAGTCTCCCTCACCGGAGATGTTCCAGAACTGTCTGGACAAAGTCCTGTGCTTCCTCCCTTGTGACCTGACTGATTCTGTGTCCTTCCACTGTGTGGGGGACATGAGTCCCCACAGCCCCCCTTTGAGGGCAGAGAGCCATGGCGGGCACAGTGAGAGAGGGGACAGTGACACCTTTGGCTGCCTCAGAAAACCCTGAGGTGAAACCTGCCCCGATCATGCCCAGGGAAGTCGTGGATGTCCCATCCCTGGAAGCGTTCAAGGACAGGCTGTTGTGGATGTCCCATCCCTGGAAGCGTTCAAGGACAGGCTGTTGTGGATGTCCCATCCCTGGAAGTGTTCAAGGACAGGCTGTTGTGGATGTCCCATCCCTGGAAGCGTTCAAGGACAGGCTGTTGTGGATGTCCCATCCCTGGAAGTGTTCAAGGACAGGCTGAATGGGGCTCTGAGCAACCTGGTCTAGTTGAAGGTGTCCCTGCCTGTTGCAGGGAGTCGGAACTGGATGATCTTCAAGGTTTCCTTCCAACCTGTTCTATGATTCTGTGAGGCATAAATTGTGTTGGATCTGGCGTATGAGGGGCTTGTCCCTCCACTAAACTACTGGGAAATGGTAAAAGAGAAAATACTGTCACAACTGCCTGAGTCTGCCTCCTCAGTGGGGAAAAGGTTTACATGCCTTGTTAATCTGTGCCACCCATATACTTAAGAGCTCAATAACAAATATTGCCTATTTGTATTCTTATTTATTACTAATATATTGTCACAGTCACAGGTGTTTATCAGGTGATTGTGTCCTCTCCCTTCTTCATTGTGCAAGGCTACGGCAGCCAGCAAATTACCAGTTTGACTTATATTACACTGTAAAAATTTCAAGCTGCTTTCAGAAATCATTATTTTTCACCCATGCTGTGGTGGCTGCAATATTCCTAACGCAAGAAGTACCTCAAAGTGTGGAAGATGGAAAGGTTTCAAAAAGATGTGGCCCTACCCAAACAAATGGAGTTACAGAACAGGGAAGGGGGAGCTGTACAATGTGGGTCAGTGAGGGCTGACAGGTAAGACCATTCCCACTCTGTAACTTCTTTTTCCAAGTGTTCTCCAAAGCTACAGGAGCAGCGTCCAGGAGGAAATCAAATGATTAAGACTTTAGTTATGTAATTTCTGGTTATGTTAAAGCTGATATCTAATCTAAGCTGTTTGGTCATTCTACAGCCAAGAGAGAGAGACACTTTCCATCAGTTGAAGAGAGGCTGGACAAATCCCATTGTGAGGAAACCTGTCTCTAGTGGTTGTAGTGGCGAAGCCTGACCAGAGTCCTGAGTGTCTCTCTTGACTGGGGGCCCAGTTTAGAGCTTGCTGATGTTAGGCTAAATGAATCCCATCTTTCTCTTTTATTCTTGGCTCTGGCAACAGCTTGGTGCAGGATCATATGCCTGTCCTGTGTAACAACTGTTACACAAGAGCACAGGAGAGGAAAGCTCCTTGTTTCAGCAAGGAGCAAAGTGGGAGTGGTGTCTATTGCATACAGCATGGACTCTCCAGCTAAGGAGAGCATCTCTGTTCAGGGAACATTTAATTCAAGAATAGACTTAAAGGCAAGCATGTACTTTACAGACTTCCAGTGTGGGAACATCAATACACAGAGGGAGAGTGCTTTGATAATGTTAGATAACTTCAATGTATTATTTTTGCCATGTATTATATGCTAATTCAACCTTCCTGAGCTGAAGTTCTCCTTACTAAGTAGGACATCATTCTGAGGAAGATTTTACAGTTACAGGGCTTTATCAGCTCCACAGTGTTATTTTCTTTATTTTTTGATTTACTGTCATCACCTTGTAATATCAGGTGTAGTCTCAGATTAAAAATGTACCCTGTCAACATTTTTCTACCCCAGGTGAGTCCAAAAGAGTTTTTGTCCTTTTGATCATCATTTGTATGTTTTTTTCCCCTCTTTCCTCGTTCTTCAGCATTACTGATTACTAGTCCTGGCACTGAGTTTATTCTAGGAGACCAGCTGTGTGTTGACACATTCTGTCCTGAAGGTGGGGAAATTTATGGAGCACAGTTCCAAGTACACAGCCCATTACTGTGTATTATAGAGAACTTCCCTCCTCTGCCCGGTAAAAACTCGTTATACCAGTTCAAAAACATGTCAGGTATGCATCTCCTTCCTCCAGCATTAATCATTAATTAACATGCGATACTGACATTTCTGGTTGCTACTTAATGTAGCAAAACAGAATTTTATGTGCGTTTCTAATTTCTTCTATCATGCTGCAGCCTCAGTGGAGGGTGACACATGCAGCTGGCAGTGTCACCACGCTGCTAATGCTGCCCAAAACAGAGCCACAAGAACAAGCCCGTGCTCATAAAACTCCTCTTGCCAATCTGACTCCTTTGCCTCGTGTTACAGGCCAAAATTTGGGGTTCTTCTCACAGAATGTGCTTATTGTATTTGCTACTGGAAATAGCTGAGAGCAGACACACTGAACTGAGCAACTGTGATCAAAGAGGATCTTATTCACCTGCTTTGGACTTTTTTCACAGTTTTCATTTTGGGTCTGTCTTTTATTTTTCTCTGTATGTGTCCTGGATTTGATAAGAATTGGTAGAAAGAAAACAGACTGATGGGAAGCTATCTGGTTTTTACTTGAATTTCAATAGGCTTAGAAAGCCCCATGGTTAAAGTTCAGAGCCTCTTGTGTGAGGCACTGTATGAAAAGTAAAAGAACAGGCAACAGATAGACAAAATAGGGAAATAAATATGTACTGAGATATGAGATAACCATGAAAGAAATAGGGTTTAGCCAAAGTGAAGGTCAGGTTACATTTACAGTCATTATGGTTGACTTAGTGTTGTGATAAACATGGTATTATCATGACTTGTTATTTGCATAAGAGTGGCCATAGGAAACCTCCAGACAAGAGCATGGCTTGTTGTACAAAGTACTGTACCAACAGCAGGTCACTATTATTGTTTACAATCAGTAATCCCTCATGAAATGTGCTCCAGGACTGATTCATACAACTTTTCCCCTTGATTGACCACTTCCTTTTTTTGGCTTGGCACTTACAGCCAGAGCCAAAGGAAAGCCTCAGTGTCCCAGCAGTGACAGTCACAGCTTGCTTTTCAGTGCCCAGCTGCCAGAATGCATTTCCAAGCAATGAGATAAACTTACAGCCACCAAAACTTGGGGCTTTGCCTGTGACTCAGTAGCAGTCAAATATCCCAGCCCAGATGTCACTGCTGCCTCCCTCTTGCCAGCTCTGTGGCTTTAGTTTTGTGGTCAGGCAGGTTGGTGTAGTGAAACAGCTTAAACCAAACAAGCCAAGATTGAAAGCTCCCTCCCCAAGTTTGCTGATGACACCAAACTGGGTGGTGAGGTGGAGATGTGGGAAGTGACAGCAGTCTAGCAGAGACACCTGGAAGGGCTGCAAGGGTGGTCTAGCAAGAACTGTATGAGGTTTATTGAACCAAGGTTGTGCATCTGGGACAGCATAACCCAAGGACCCTTTAGAGGCCAGGCCACACCTGGAGTACTGTGTTGGGCCCCGGTCTGTGCAATTCAGGACACAGTCACATTGGAGAGGGTCCAAAGAAGGGCCACCAAGATGATCAAAAGGCTGGAGAGCCTGCCCTGTGAAGAAAGACTGAACCGGTTAGGTCTCCTCTGCCTGGAGAAGACTTTGGGGAGACCTTGTCAGAGTATTCCAGCACTTAAAGGGTGACTGCAAAGAGAGTGGAGGCTCTCTCTTCTCAAGGAGCCACATGGAGAAGACAAGTGGCAATAAATACAAATTGCTCAAGGAGAGGTTTCATCTTTATATGAAAAATATTTTTTATGGTGAGGACAGTGACTGGAACAAACTCCCCAAGGAGCCAGATAGGGCTGGAGGTTTTCAAGATGTGAGTGGACAGGGTGCTGCATAATCTCATCAAGGCTCCCTTCTCCATGAAAGACTGGGCTTGATGATGTTTTGAGGTCCCTTCCAGCCTGGGCTGTTCTATGATTCAGTGATTGCTTTTGGGAAGTGTTCATATCTTTTTTTTTTACCCAGATGTTTTTGCATTTGGTTTGGACTGGTGTGGGACAAAAACTTTAGGATGAGGGAGACAGATCTGAAAACAGATCCATTGCTGTAGGGACAGGAGTATCTTTGAGCTGCACAGAGCAACTTCCATCCCTCCCCTGGATGATCAGGGTATGCGTGTGGAGAGTGAGAGATGAGTTTGAGCAGTCTGGTGGTTCAGAGGCAAAGGAGTCTTCTAGATGGGCACTTCCTAGACAAGCACTTGAGATAGCATCACTTGCTGTGAAAAACAGTCAAGATAGGATCTATGGAGATCAGATACAGTCAGGATTTATTTGGTACTCTTTAGGAACACCTTTAAGTTTGTGATTAAACTAGGAGAATATCTAATTTCCAGG